TTGCTACATTTGACTCTAGTTTAAAAAACTAGTTGTAATTCTAATTATAGTTAAAGTTAAAGTGTATTAATTTAATTGTTAGTAAAAAAATAGGTTGTACACAAAACTAGTTAATTCACTAGTTAATTTGCCATAACTCGAATTAATAGTTAGATTAATAGTTAATTACTTTTTTACAATTTTTTATTAATCGCTACATTTTTTAGATGGATCGTCCTAGATATTCGGTTGATATGGGTAACCTACAACCGATGGTGGCTCTACCTATGCCGGATATTCCGATTGAATGATTGATTAATATTTCATGTTTTAATTTTACCTTCAATTCTCAATTGTAGTTCCTATTTAATTTTCAAATGTAGTTCCTATTTCATTTCAAATAAATGCACTTGAAGTTTGTTTGTTTTTAATATTTGTATAAAACTATAAAGTATAAAATATAAATTATAAAAACAAAAACAAAATCTTTAACCGGCCCGGCCTGGCCCGGCGGGTGGCCCGACCCATGACCCGGACGGGTGGCCCGGCCCGAACCGGACCCGTCCAACCCCCGGACCGGTCCCAGACCCATATGATACAAACCGGTGGCCCGATCGGGCCCGACCCGGCCCGAGTCCATGACTAGTACCAGACTTCAAACATGGCAGTATTTTTTAAACATTACAGTAATTAGTCCTATTTTGGGAATAAAAAACATGATAGTCCTATTTTGAAATTTTCAAACTGTTTTAGTCCTATTTCGAGAACTTTCCCAAAATTAAATAATAAAAAATAAAAATAACACGAATATCTTAATTATCCTTACTTTATTTAACAATCGTTAAGTGAGCGCTGTTACAGATATGAGAAAGACAAACAACTCAAAATTGCAGTTGCTTCAATGAACATTTAATCCGTACTTCTTTCAAATTAAAACAAATGTAATTTACAGGCTTTTCTCAACTAGAGCCCATTTGGTGACCTTTTTTTTGGCTTATCACGCTTATCAGTCAGTTTTTTCACTAAACACGTAACTTTTGATTTTGCGAGTTAAATTATGTAATAAGCAGAAAAAGTAAGGTTGAAGTTACTTTTCTGACTGTATTGGTCATAACAAATATTTTTAAATATAAATTTTTTATAAATCAACAGAATCAGCCAATAGAGCAAATTCAACCAGAACTTCATAAATTTCAACAGAATCAGTCAATTCAACCAATTTTAGTGTTATCAAATGAGCTCTAAATGAGTAAGAAGCAAAGTATGAGGAGGCTTCTCTATTCACCCTAAAGTTTAGATCTAATTATCTTCTTCATGCACATGAGAACTATTCTTTGAAAACATTTCAAAAAGACCGGGACAAGAAAAAAAGTGAAGATGGAGCAACTTAAATGTGGCTGTGTAGACGAACATCGAGACGGAAACGACGTCAAACTAGGGTGGGTATAACGGTTCGGTTTGACCGAACCGAACCGTACCAAACCGAACCGAAATCGAACCATTTGTAATTTGGTTTGAGTTTGGTAGTATTCCTCCCAACCCGTATTAAACCGAACCGAAATCATAAAACCGAATAAAACCGAATAAAAGCGAACTAATCTAAAAATGAAATAATTTCTTGTTTTTTTTAAATAACAAATCAAAACCAACTTACACCAAACTAAACCAAACCAAAATATAAGATTTCTCACATTAATTTGATTGATGTTATATTTTTGAAGCTTTAATTCTTTAATTTTAGTGTCCAGGACTAGAGTTCACTACAAGAGTTACATTCACAACTATACAATTATAATGGTTTAGGTAGATAGTATTTAACTATAATTTATTATCTACCAGTACTATATATTTGGTTCATTACTTACAAGCAGCAGTTTTGTTTTTGTTTCAGCTTTATATATAATTTGATTCATTCCCGTTGTTGTTGTTGCTTACAAATGTGTCATGCTTATATATTTTTGATTCATATGTATTTTGTTACTATAATTTATCATCTATCAGTACTGTATATTTGGTTCATTACTTACAAGCACCAGTTTTGTTTTTGTTTCAGCTTTATATATAATTTGATTCATTCTCATTGTTGTTGTTGCTTACAAATGTGTCATGCTTATATATTTTTGATATGTGTTTTGAAAATTTGTATCTAACATTATATTTGGTTCATTACTATCGCTTCTTGGTTCATTATTTTGAGTTTTTTTTTTCAATCCAAACCTTAATACCATGGTAAATCGAACGTCAAACCGAACCGAACCATACCAAACCGAAACCAAACCGAAACTTAATCGGTTTGTATTTGATACATTTTTTATCAAACCGATTAAACCGAACCGAAACCGAAGAAAACCGAACCGAAAACCGAAATGCCCACCCCTACGTCAAACTACGGTCATAATAGGAATTAAAATTTAATACCAAAATTGAGCTGTAATCAAACAAACCAAACGTTTTGGGCTACTTATGATCAAATCAGCCAATTAATGAACTGTTCATGACAACCAGCCTAATACGTACCATTTTGGGCATATTCTCATTTCTGCTCGGCACATATGTTGAATATTCTACTTTGTATATATGAAGTGTCATGCGAATATGCGACAGCATATATTGAATAATCATACAATGACTGCTCGGAACAATAATAGAACAATTTGGTGGATTTTGGTTGAATAAAAACTCTTGATATTAGTAAAAAACGGTTATTTAGGTAATTCCAGTGCAAGTCAGAGAGACATGGTTTACATAATTACTACGTATCATTGGTGAATCTAATAATTAAAAAATAGAAATTGCCCTAAATAGCAGTAAAAACGTTTTGAAATTACAAAATAGGAGTATCATGTTTTTTATTCTTTGAATAGGAGTAATTTGCCTAGTTTGGGAAAATATGTCATGTTTAAAAACCTAGTAATACCAAACTTGGCAGAAATTTACTCATATTTAGGGAATAAAAAACATGATAATCCTATTTTGGAATTTTAAAACTTTTTTACTCCTATTTACGGAATTTACTCTTAAAAAAAGTTATTTGGATATAACTTTTCCACCCATCATATTCTAAAGTAATTTTATTTGGAGAACTGAATATATAAAGTATGGGTGTGACTTTGAAACCAAGAACCGGAAAATCGTAGGAACCGAACAGTTAAAAATCAGTTCGGTTCGATTGGTTCCGACACATGAGTTATAAATTGTTAACGGTTCAGTTCTTATTCTTTGTTAACGGTTCGATTCCTGGTTCTTGCAAAAAATATGTTTACGGAATCGTTAAATAACCGTTATTAAAAAATGAAAGTATAACTAGTGATAATAATGAAAATAACAACAACAACAACAACAATAATAATAATAACATCAACAATAATAATAGTTATAGTAACAATAATAGTAATAATATTATAATCGAAGACATTTAATCACACAACAATTTAAATTTAATTGATGGAAGCGGATGAAGATGAATACGTTAACCTCGTTTTTTTACATCATATTTTATTCCATCACAGAAAATTCATAATTATAAAAGTAAACCAACTTAATTTGTATTGGTTCGATATATTTTTTCTTTATAATATTCAAAATGATTGTAATTGTGAGATTTAGTGTAAATAATTCTCCTAGGATTTGAATGTAATGTTTTTTATATTTGTACTTGTGCATTCAATTTGTTGTTTTAAGTTCTGAGAACTTGAACTAGATGTCTTATTTTACTTTGATGAGCCAACTTTTAATGATATAAAACAAAGTTGAGTTAATTATCAAAATAGGACTAAAAGTCATTCACTTTTCACAAATAGGACCAAAAAATAAACTATGTTTGCATAGGACTAATTATGTGTACCTTGGACAATTATACCCTTATAACTATTAAAATGTTTTAATTCCTAATAAAATAATAAAAAATAATAAAAACTCGTAAAAATAGGTTATGGCTTTTGAATTATATTTATAAAAAAATATAAATATATTTCTACGAATTGTTGAATTTTTTTTGAATTTATTATGAATTAAACATTTAATTATGGCTTTTGACTATTTTTAATTCATATTTAATGGAAGGGTAAGAATGGAATGCAAAAATAGGTATGTTTCCAATAGGACTCATATGGTCCTATTTTGGAATAAAAACATAGCAAGTCTTATTTTAGGTTTTTGCCATAGTTTTAGTCCTATTTGAACTAATTTCTAAACAAAGTTCAAAGCCTGAATTTTAAATAAGGTTGAAAGCCCGAAATTTGAATTGTATGATTGAAATATGTGTAGAAGGGGGAGAAAATAAGGAGAATAACAAATTCATTAATTTAAAAAGAAAGTGACAAATGTCTTTAAACAAACATTATAATGTCATTGACACATGCAGGAACTTTACCCAATTTGGTATGAGACAATTTTAGTGGGATTTCCCGAAAAGATAAAATAAAACAATATTAATGGGACGGAGGGAGTAACACTTTCTCGTAAAGTAACTTAAATAATATAGATATAATTAAATCCATAGTGATCTCTAACAAAAAATTAAATTATTAACAGAACATGGATGTTATAATCATTTTCCCCTAATATGATGTTGTGTATTTAGTCATTTTTATAATTTAAAAAATAAATTGGAAATGATTCTTGATATAACGGTATGTTAATATACCTTTTATTTTCAAAACATACTTCCTCCGTTCCATAAACTCATAAAAGTTGCAACATTAGAATTTCTGCACTATTAACACATCTTACTTTGATTACGTTTTTCTAATAATATATATAATAAAAATATTATGTATAAAATATTAATAAATTTGTATTAATGTAAATTTCCAATATATTAACTTTTTTAATTTTACTAATACATAAATAAATATAATTACAGTCAAAGATGTGCGTTGACAAACGTGAAAGTCAAACTGTTACGACTTGAGAGAGGATGGTATAATATCGAAATAGTTCGGTACCCTAACATACCGTACCGAAAATGTAATACCCAATATAAAAATAGTATACCCAAATTTTTTTCACCACCCTACCTAAAACTATTCGGAGAACCCGTCACAGTTGGGGACCGTTGGATGACATTCATCATGCTACTACTCACATGTAGCAGCTTGGAAGTTCACGCGAAGTCAGTGGGTTTTCACCTGTCACTCTTCACCAACACTTCTCTCCTCCTCTACATATACAGCTCGCTCGTCTTCATGCCTGTTTATTTAATGTGTAGAAGTGAAATGGTGAAAAGGATTGTTCTCTACAACCTTTGGAATTGATTACTGACTATACTGAGTGAAGGGGAAATGTTGAGGGAGAAGTTGGTCGGAGAAAATTGCGTGTCCTCGTCGGCGCTGTCTTCGTCGCATTCACTCCTATCAAACGCAGAGCCAGACAGAATTTTCGACGAATTGCCGGAGGCGAACATCGTCTCCGTGTCCAGGGCGGAGCCCGGAGACATCGGCTTCAGCCCCTTGCTGCTGACATACACTATTCAACTCCGTTATAAACAGGCAACCATCTTACTTACTGTATATACAGCTCGGTTGTTCTGTACGTCTGTTTGCATATACTCCGTATGTAATTGTGTTAATATATAAGTTCAATTCTTCAAGTAGTGTCTACATGTTTGTTTACTTACAAAGCATAAATGCAGCCTGTATTTTTGTGGCTATATCTTGTAGATATGAATTAATACTTACAAATTTGAAGTCTTAAGCATGGTTATATTTGAAGGGGGCCTTACTGCCTTAGCACACATAATAAAGTGTTGTTGTTTGGTTGGGAATTATATTTTGTTGGTAATGATTAATGGTGTAAATGGATGAACGGAATAGTTTTTCATATTCTCATGAGCATACCGCTCCAAACTGTGCTTGCCAGCCCTGTTCTAAAGCCTAATCCTGCGCACCCATGGGTCTGGGTCCATGTGTACATTACTAGGATTTAGTAAGAAATAGTGTGCAGCTAAGTCAAGTGAAAGTTTAACTTCAATTTGCTCTTGTCTAATTCAAGTTAGAGTACTGAAGTGCTCTGAGTGAAGTTCATTTTTCATGTTACCAATTCTTGCTCAGTTCAAGTTCAAATTTCTAAGTTTTAAAAGCTTGGAGCATTTTATACACTCCTCAGCTTGAGAAGGAGTGTTCAAATATTGAGAATATATGTATAGAAATATAGCAGCTCTGGGCTGAAGAACCATATGTTTTCCACCTTTATTGGGTAGGATTAGATTATTTAGATCCATTATATTAAAACTTTGGAGTTAATCTAAAAGGTCAACATAATATGAGGAGTAACTTATATGTGGATTTATATTTTTATATTTTGCTGATGTGGGATGACTTAGCACATAAGTAGTCTCTGCATAAACACTACAAGAATTATTTGAATATAATGAAGTTGTAGGCTGTGTTATGTATCAAATAGAAAAACACGTTTTGAGTTTCAACAATATAGTATTGGTAAAGACTTGTATCCAGCATCTTAGGAATAACTACTTACTCTTGATACAATAATGTGTACATCCTCGTGTTTTGACTTACAGTTCCAGTGGGTCTTATTAAAAAAAGCTTCAGAAGTTATCTACTTACACTTTGCACTCAGGAAGCGTTCATTAATTGAGGAATTCCATGAAAAACAAGAGCAGGTTGTATGGCCTTATTTTGACTTATTTCTTCTCATTAATGCATGGAGCTCTAAGTTTTAGGTGCTGTATGTGTTGGATGAAAGTGTGATGACTGATTTCTCATTTGATCTCTTCATGTCAGGTTAAGGAGTGGCTCCACCATATACGAATAGGGGAACAAATTACAGCCCAACAGTATGATGATGAACCTAATGATGGCACTACCCTTGCACATAATGAAGATAACATTAGAAACAGGTAATGACAAACTTCTTTTACTCCCTTTACCGACATAATAGGTCATAACAGTTATTTCCACATAAGTATTTATTTCTCAGTAACTGTTGTGTTTCTGGCACACAAATTGATAATGCAGGCATGTTCCGTCTAGAGTTGCTTTGTCAATCATTCGTCCTTCATTAGGGAGGCAACATGCAATCTTGGAGAGAGCAAAAAGAGCGATGCAAGATTATCTGAATTACTTTTTAGATAACATGGATATTGTTAATTCTAGTGAGGTGGAACTTGATTCTTTCACCTTCTTAGGACAGCACTTGTTTGATGTTTCATTTTCTCATGATGTTTGAAATGAAATGGATTTTGATCACACATTTGCGGACTGAGGGAATATACATGTTGTACTCATTACATCCTTCCATAGTTTCATATACGATAGTATTTTTTTTTATTCTATACCTTAACTGTGGTACGAATGCTACTTAATCGCTGATTTTAGTTTTAGAAATTATGCTACAAATGGCAGAGTGAGTAAAGGCATTCTTGAAGCTGTTAGAAAGTTGTATTATTTTCCTAACGTTGTGATTTCTTTTGACAGGTCTGCAAGTTTTTGGAGGTCTCCAAGTTGTCCTTTTTACCTGAGTATGGCCCAAAGCTTATAGAAAACTATCTATTGGTTAAGCATCTGCCAAAATTTTCTGAGAATGAGGGCTTTGGATGTTGTACGTGTTATGGACTTGGTTGTTGCAAGAATGACTGGCAAAAGGTAAGTTCTCTTCATGGGTTTCTTTAAGTACTCTTCCCATAATTCTATTTAGGTTAAATAATAAGATCTTGGTGAGGTTGTAGTCTTTTACATAAACAAAGACTGTTCATGCCTTTTTAATATCTGACCCCAATGGCTAATAAGGTCATAGTGATCTAGTCAATATTGGAACCAACATTTTTTAATTGTTAAACAAATAATCGTATTACCAATTCATAGACAACACCATAAACATTGAAGGTCAGTAATATTTTATGGTTTTTATCATTTGCACATATGTCGAATATGTTAGTCTCTGGCATCACAGCCTATTATCCAGCTTTTTACTTTTTGGGTTATTGGGCTTTACTTTGTGTGTATAGAACCTTAAAAACATATTATCAACAGACTTGGAATCGTTTTGGTCTTCCTATTTGTCACAATGTAGTGCTTTAATGGAGTCTATTTTTTTAATTCTTTGGCTCATTAGTATGTTTAGATTAGTAAGCTCTCAAATGAAAAAACTACATCATCCTCACATTTTCTTCTCCAATAGAGGTATGTATTTAAGCTCAATCTACTATTTGTTCTCTTAATGCACTGTAGGTTTGGGCTGTTCTTGAACCCAGTATCTGAAATTTACTAAGAAGCCCTTTTGATACGGAACTGTTGGACATGTTTCTTGTTTTAATTGTATCTCTGATGCAGTAGCAAATTTAGATTAGTGAATTCTCGATTAGAAAACCTGCATAATCCTCTGTGGTGTCTCTCTAATAGAAGTGTTTGAGTGAGCTCATTATTCTCTTAATTCACTGTAGGTTTGGGCTGTTCTGAAGCCTAATTTCTTGGCTTTACTAAGAAGCCCTTTTGACGCTGAGCTGTTAGACATATTTGTTTTTGATCCCCTTCCTGCTGCTAACAGCAAGGGTGAGGTGCAAGTAAATTTGGTGGAGGAGATAAGGGAGAACAATCCTTTGCGCTATTCATTCAAGGTCGGCCACTGGACTTGATTGATCAATATTCAATGGTATTTAACATTTATCAAACTTTAAAGACATTTTATTACTTGCCTTCACCTGCTTCCTCTCTACTAGTTTGACTGTCCAATATCTAATAGATTTCTCTTCTTTTCGGCAAATAGCCTGGGTCATTCATTTAATTGATGGGACTGACACTTGATTTGCATTTACTTTATTCTTATTAATCCAATTGTTTGCTTGTTAAAGATTCATTTGACAGCTAAACAAACTTTTAAGTTTTAACTAAACCTGAGGAATAGGAGATATGGAAATAAAGTATCTGTGTCCTCTTCCTCTCAAGCTTTTTACCGCTTTTCTTTTCATTTCAATCTCCTAGCACCACGCCTCTATTTTTTATAATTGTTTTGTTTGGAGTGTTATATGTTCTCTAACATTTTTTGAATTCACATAAAGGTTTGTTGTGAGAATCGGAGCATAAAATTCAGAACTTCAAGTCATGCTAAAGTTAAAGGTTGGATTTCTGCAATTAATGATGCTAGGCTGAAGTCCAGAGAAGGTTGGTGTGGTACTCACCGCTTTGGTTCTTTTGCTCCACAAAGAGGGTTGACCGAGGATGGCAGTCATGCTCAGTGGTTTATCGATGGAAGGGCAGCATATGAAGCAATTGCTTCATCAATAGAGAGTGCCACATCTGAGGTTTCATTCTTTAAGTTATTAGGCTATTAGCTGTTATATCTGGAATTTGGAGATGGAAACGATTGCATGATGTGTTTGCAGATATATATTACTGGATGGTGGCTTTGCCCTGAACTGTACTTGCGGCGGCCATTTCATAACCACAGCTCCTCCAGGCTAGATGCTTTACTTGAAGCAAGAGCTCATCAAGGGGTTCAGGTGCAATACAAATTGATATTTCATATTTTGAACTCAATGAGTTATATAGTTGTAGGCTAAATTTTGTCCGCTGTTTATTTACGAAGTATTTATTTATTTATTTTGCATCATGTTTCGAGAATGGAGATTGATTTTAAAATATTTATCTTGTAATGAACATTACACCCCAAAATCTTTTGGGACTCGGGCTTGGATGTTGTTGTTGTTATGAACATGAGTACATGACAATAGCAAATATGATTGTTTCATGATATTCCATGCTTGGAAATAACCTTTGGTGATCTGGGTTGAGAATTTCATCTCGTTATCTTTTATCTATTCTTGCAAGAAGGTTACAACATGAATGGCATCCGACGCAGAACTTTAACACTGTTTTCTTCATGGATTTATAGTGTTAACTAATCTTAGCTCTATCTTCTAAAAAAACGAATCCTAGCTCTATAAATTAATTAGGACTAAAATTTTCATAGCATCCACCCAACTAGTTGGGTTTAAGGTGATGATAATTAATTTACTTATTTGTTTGTTTATTCCGCTTTTTATTTATACTTTTTCCTGGTACGGTTGGTTGAATTTCAGTAACGTTGAGCTTTACTTCTATGCAGATATACATTCTCCTGTACAAGGAGGTCGCTCTTGCTTTGAAAATCAACAGTTTATACAGTAAAATAAAGCTTCTTAGCATCCACAAGAATGTGAAAGTTCTACGCTACCCTAACCATTTATCTGCTGGGATCTATTACTGGTATGCCATTAGGATTATATATTGTTAAATGTATTTTTCTTCCCCGGTGTTATATTTGTACAAACTCGAAGTGCTCACTTATATGCAGGTCACACCATGAAAAAATTGTTATTGTGGATAATCATATCTCCTATATTGGAGGATTAGATTTATGCTTCGGTCGTTATGATACAGTTGAACATAAAGTTAGTGATTACCCTCCTTTGTTATGGCCTGGAAAGGACTATTACAACCCAAGGTGATTGCAATCTTCTCCCCAAACTCAGATTGTGATAGTGAGGTCGCTGAATGATTTGGTCTTCATCTTACACCAAACTTATGACAGTGAAGTCAGTATGGACAAGTTGTGGAACATGTAACTTGGGACTTTAAAATTGATTATTTTAAAACTATTTTAACCCACCCCCAAAAGAATCATGTGGACACCTAACACCCGTTACACTTCTTACGTAAGGCAGAGTTGTTATAAAATGATCGTGTAAGGGTGCACCTTGTCTCAACAATGAATACGATGAGACCGATTTTGACTGAACTCTGTCGCTTAGTTCAAACCAGGCTGGACAACTCAAGAGGTGGGCAAATGGACCATACAGACCACAAATTTGATTAAATCCTTAGCTGACAAATAAACCACAAACGGCTGCCGACCATGCTCTAATACCATATAGATCGGAGTAACTCGCCAAAAATGGAATTTTAAAGAGGTGTGGTATACCCATACAAATGAGACTCAACCCCATTAAGCATCCAAATTTGGATAGTTAACAAACCCATTAGAACAGTCTGTTGAATGTTCTAATCAATCACATGTGTTTGGATCTTTAACATTTCATGTTTGGAATCTTCCTATTTGGATAATGCAGAGAATCTGAACCAAATTCTTGGGAACATACAATGAGAGATGAGCTGGACCGAGAAAGATATCCACGTATGCCTTGGCATGATGTCCAATGTGCTCTATGGGGACCACCTTGCCGAGATATTGCTAGGCATTTTGTTCAGCGCTGGAATCATGCTAAGGTTTATTTACTCCTCCTTTGCTTTTAATACTCCGTATAAAATTTAATTTACTTATATCACAGTATGTTCCACAGAGAAGCAAAGCTGCAAATGAACAAGAAATACCGCTCCTTATGCCACAACACCACATGGTAATCCCACATTACCTGGGAAGAAGCCAAAAAATAGATGTTGAAATTAAGAATGATCAAGAAAGTGTAGAGGACTTAAATAGACCAGACGCGTTTCGTTCAGAGTCGCCACCTGAAGGCATACCATTGCTTTTGCCTCCGGAAACTAACAGCAGGGAAACATCCAACCCAAACAACACACAAGATGGTATGTATAGGGTCTGATTATGTGTCTCTATTGATCTGCTATGAAAGCTTGGGAGCTTTGTACTTGTATTTACTACTCCACTATACTTCACGTAAGTCTTAGATCTGGAGATGAAAACTTGCAGATTTCTATAGTTATCTGGATCCACTAGATCAATCAACCAAACTGAAAGATGGTTGGTGTGAAACACAGGAGAGAGGTCAGTTCTCAGTTGAGAAATTAGCTGACGTTGGTCCTCAGATCCCTTGTTCCTGTCAGGTTGCTGTTTTCCTTTTCTCCCTCTTCTTATTCATTTATATTTTTTCGGGGGAGGGAGAGTAATATTTGGGAGTGACCACTAGACGACCTTCTTCATATTGTAACGCTGTTAAGTTTTAACATTATTGAAAAGAATATGGCCTTTACTCACACCCCAACACTTCAAAAGTTCAAAGTAAATTTTAATTGATAATAAAAGATTAAAAGGTATGCGTCTTCACTTCAAAGAATTTGTCCGTTTTTAGAAATTTATAATTACTCGTAAACATTTAAAGAAACCTTACATAGTTTAAGTGGGAAGCATAGTAGTCAATGGTGTGATATGGCGCGCGCCATATGCGCCATCGCCGTGAAAAAATGGCCGTAGCCATATGCGCCATTCGTATATGCGCCATCGCCATGTGCCATGTAAAATGCCTTTGAGCCATGGCGATCACCATGCGGCATGACAACTATGGTGGGAAGGACTAAGGAGAAAGTATGGCTTCCGTTCTGCAGACGTGTTGTTTGTTTTGAGATGGCTCTGTTGATCTTAGTCTATTCTAGGCATTTCTTTGAATGGACCAAGATTTTTTTTCTGTCTTCCTTTTATTTCTCTGTTTGTAGACATTTTATACTGACTTTTTAATGTTTATTAAGTCAATGTCTGGCTCTTTGTAGATAATTAGAAGTGTAAGCCAATGGTCAGCAGGAACAAGATATACTGAAGATAGCATTCATACTGCTTATTGTTCACTCATTGAGAATGCTGAGCACTTTGTCTTCATAGAGGTAATTAAGCATATCTTATGATCTGTAGTTTTATATGTGTCCTTCATTAGATCCTTGTTGCTGAGCATCATCAGGCCCTTGTTTAGTGTACTCGATATATTTTCTGTTTGTAAGCATCAAGACATGTTCCGGATCAAAAGTTAAGTGGTTCAGATGTGAGGCCGTTCACTTTTTTCTATAAAAAGTGTGCTCTGCATTCTGCATATGAATCTAGAAGTGACTTTTCCACGTAGAGCAATGTCGATTTTCTGCTTTAGATCGTAAGGAAATTTAGATTTGACTTCTGAAACTGTTTGCTCTAAATGCCCGCTTCCAGAATCAGTTTTTTATATCTGGCCTCTCTGGGGATGATATCATTCAAAATCGAGTACTTGATGCATTATACAAGCGCATAATGAGGGCATACTATGAAAAAAAGTGTTTCAGGGTAATAATTGTCATCCCCCTCTTACCAGGATACCAGGTCCTTGTTCTCTTTCTCTATCATAATGTCTCTCAAGTTTACTTATTTGTTTATTCATGTTTTATTTTATCGGGTTCTCCAAACTACAGGGAGGCTTGGATGATATTGGAGCAGCATCTGTGAGAGCCATAATGCATTGGCAATACCGAACAATTTGCAGAGGACAAAACTCTATATTGCATAATCTAATTTCCTTTCTAGGTCAAAAAACATCTGATTACATATCTTTCTATGGTCTCAGAACTTACGGCCAACTTTCTGATAGATGTCCATTAGTCACGAGCCAGGTACTCTCTTATAAAACACCCTGCCAAGTGACTAGAATCCATTGTCCACCATTCATCCAACTATAACTCGATCCATTAAAAAGTATATTAACATAGATTGTCATAGAATGGATTTATCCGTGTATTTTTAGCTTAAGGGTAGTTAATAATTTGTTTTCCATTTTTCCAAGTCCATTGGATCATATTTAACAAAAAAGTAATACACCCCAATAAATAACCATTAGATATATTATTGGGAAAACTATACTATACCTCCAAGATTGATCCCCCCACCATATTTAAAGTCTACGGGATGCTGTGTACTTGTTATTGTTTGGATTTAGTTGCAGTATATGCTGATTTAGCAAGAAATAGTCAACAGCCACCTTAGTCGCAATATCGCAAACAACCCCCTGCCAGCCACTGGCAGCACCATCATCAGTGAGGTAGCCCATGATGGTCTCCTCGTATGAGCGCAATAAACAACTTCCTGTAGTCCAATGTTGGTCCCCCAAAATAATTATAGTTTGGTGATACCCCCCGGCAGGGCCGGCCATATGGGGAGGTGACCTAGACAAGTGTCTAGGGCCTCCAAATTTTAGGGGCCTCAAATTTTTAAAATAAGTCTATTAGTATTATATAGTTATTTAAACTATACTATTATTGAACACTTACTCTATTATTTAATTATTTTATTATTTTCTTTTAATTGTTAGTTTTTTCATTGTAAATTTGTTGGACCCTTAGTGAGTCAATCACTTAGTTGGCTCCTAGGGACCATGGTTATATAATGAATATCTTGATAAATAAATATATATTGCTACTCCGTATTTGCTAATGTAATTTGTGATTTTGATTGATTAAACTATTGAACAAATTATTTAATATATTGAAATATTGATTAATTCAACTCATAAGTTGTAGGTTTTGCGATGATGGGAAAAAGAAAATGATTTGTGATGTATAAAGAGAGAGAAAATTAAGAAAGGATTTTTGTAGTGAGGTTTTACGAATTTTGCTTTTTAAAAAGCTAAAAGAATATGTTATTACTTATTAGGGGTGTTTGGAAAATGACGTTTCGACCAAAAAATGATAATTTTGATTCATTTTAGCGTTTTTAATAAGTGAAATTGTTGTTTGATTAATAGTTGTTTAGCCCTAGCGTTTTTGAACGAAACTGCTGAAATGAAAACGTTGTAAGTACGTAGAAGAGTAATTTTGGGTTGACGTTTTAAAATATGACATTTTCTACTAATTGTTGTGCCCAAACAACCAAATTATTAAACATTCTTTTGCAACCCGTCAACTTATTCCGCTAGTCAAGCCCACTGAGTGATTTTGGACCTTTTTCTCTGAAGAATGTTCTCATTACGATAGTACAATATACATTTCACATAATTTGGTTCTATTTAATTGATATTCTATTTTTTATATTAGTGTTCAATAAAACATTGATCCATAGGTGGAATCTCCCACCCCAAGAGCCCCCCATACCGACCCTACAAGATGGTGGGGAGGTTAGTCACGGTGACTCAGTCAGCATAATGGCGGTCGCTGCGGGGATTCGAACTTTGGTCCATTGATCCAAATCACCCACCACTCGACCAACTGAGTTACCCGTGCGGGTTTGTGTTCAACAAAACATATTTCAACAATATGTCTCTTATGACTGTCTAGGGCCTCATAATTCCTCTAGACGGCCCTGCCCCCCCCCCCCCCCCCCCCCCAAGCCGTGAGTCCCTCCCCACCCCTCTTTCAAAGTAGCAATCTAAGCACATCTTACTCACTATGACAAGTTGGCAACTCTCTATATTGAAAGCTTTCATCTCTTTCACTAAGCTTAGTTTGGACTTTCTCAAGCCAAAAATGCTTGGTGTACACATTTTTGTGTACACTTTTTGTACATTCGTCTATCTTAAGCTGTACAAAAAGTGTTCACAAAAATATGTACACCTGGCACAACTCTTCTCAAGCTGAGGCTGCCATTGGCCGCCTCTGAATTTACATCCCTTTTATGTGATTTTCACATGGTGGGTGCCGGCAACAGGGGCACAGTGACGTGCTGGGTATTTTTCTCATAAAAATTATTTAGTTTTTTAAAAAATAAAAATGGATGCATTTCCTTCCCTAAAAAGTCAACAGATTGATTTGATGGTTTTTCTCAAGTTGATCATGAATGGCTTGGATATTTTGATAATATTTTATGGATCATAAATGAATTAATGCATTCATCTTAAATAATCCCTTACGATGCAAATAGATATGTGTCCAGTTTGTCCATATGAAAAGTTTATTGACAAGATCATGTGCTTTTGTCAATTGATCATGTCAATCCAATAAAATAACTAAACAAGGTCTCACTCCATATTCTTCTAGCTTTTTATGCTCTTTTATTTTTCTATCTTTTATCTTTCTTATATTCTTATGTTATTGTTATCTTATATTTATTTATCTTTATTTTATCCGTTTTAGCTTACTTCTTCCCCCCCCCCCCCCCCCCCTCCTTGTCCGTCTCTCTGTTTGGCATCGATATCATAGATCGATTCATGTTAGCCGACCCCAAATTCTTTTGGGATTAAGGCTTGGATGTTGTTGTTGTTGTAAAGTCTCACTCCATATCATTTTCTAGCTACCAGAAATTCTTTTATTTTTATTTTAGGTGGATATTACAATTTAAGTATTTTTCTCCTAGAATCTAGGTTCATTTTGTACTCGATTTCATGCATGACATTTCTAGTTTGCTTTTGTCAGCATGCTTGTTCTCTTGCATTGACAATGTCTTCTGCGATACAATAGATTTTTGTTTCCTGCTCCATATGATCCTCTTATGGACAGTTCTCCTTGTTAGAGCAAGATATGTACCTGATATAGCTGACTTGAAGTTTAGATTTACATGTGTAGAACAATCCGCAGCTGGATAATCTGATCGAGGAATTTAAAACAAGTTTGAATCATGCTTTCTTTTAGATTCCATGGTCTGGTTTCAAATTCTTTACAATTTCTACTGCAGATTTATGTCCATAGCAAAATCATGATAATAGATGACCGTGTAACGCTGATTGGATCATCTAATATTAATGACAGAAGCTTGTTAGGATCCAGAGATTCTGAGGTAATTAGTTCCCCCATTGATCGACCATGAGGTACTTAGTTTGTTGATGTTACTAGTGGACCGGTATAGACTTGTTGATGTCCCATGTATTGTTTCTGATAATGCGATTGTGTTTTTGTGTGACATCAAAAAGTTAATGCTCTCAGATAGCTGTTGTCATTGAAGATAAATATTTTATCGATTCATCAATGGATGGAAAGCCTTGGAAGGCTGGAAAGTTTGCATTTAGCCTTCGGGTATCATTATGGGCAGAACATTTGGGTCTACATTCTGGAGAGGTTAGTGATATTTTAATTTGCTATTTGAGCAATATGGAGTCCCACTGGAGCATCTATTTTTTAGTAGCTTGTACAATTCACACAAACACAGACCCATTTTCAGGTTAAAAGTTCTGCAGATTATGATCTATGTATGTATCATGTTCCAGATTTTCCGAATAAGGGACCCTATAGCAGACTCGACATACAAAGATATGTGGCTTGCAATTGCCAAGGTAGGGAGGGTATCTTTTTACAAAATTGAACTCTAATCCTAATGGTATGCTAGGTGAATTAAACAAAAATCGTACAAAAATTTATTTTCTTATGTTTGGTTTTTCCCTTGAAAAAAAAGGAAAACAAAATATAATAGACTGAAGACAGAAATAAATGAGCATCACTATAAAATAAAATTGTTGAGTATTAACTTGTGTTTAATTTTTCCCAAGATTTCTTTCCTTCCAATTTCTCACTGTATTTTTCCTGCTGCTTTCTTCCCTAGTATTTTCTGGGTTCCAAAAAAGCCTCTAAGACTTATTAGCCCCAACCTGACCTATATTGGAAGTTCCATTTTATCCATAGAGAGATTTTCTTTCTGTCTACACACCTCTCCTGACACACATTAATATCGTTGGAAAGATCTCTGAGTATTTGTTGGTAGTCTTAAGCACTTCACCATATACGAAGTAAATGGTAGTCAAAGCTAATAACCTTCTGAGTACCTTTTTTGTTCACAGTTGAATGCCACACGCTACCAAGATGTCTTCTCTTGCATCCCAAACGACCTCATTTACTCAAGGTATTTAGCTCTTTTAACTTCTTCCCTTTTTATTTGGATTTTAAGGCTCTGTTTGGAACCTTGAAAATTACTAGAGAGAGATACTAGGGAGCATAAGAGGGGGGAAATTTGGGAGGAAATATAAAATGGGAAAAAACATTTTGAACTAAGTTAATAAATTTTAGATGTTTGTTCAAACTCATTTTATTTATGTGTTTATATTATTAAAGATTAATAAATTAACACACACATGCATATAAATATATATTAAAGTTTTCCTTCATATTTTTGATATCTAAACAGAAATAAATAAATAAAATTACTTTCCATTTTTTGTTTTCCCTGCCATTTTCTCCATCCCAACCATACATGTTCTCATTTGAATTTAAAATCCAAACATATCCATAAAATTACAGGTATGCGCTGAGACAATGTAAAGAGAAACTCAAGCACAACACTGTTGATTTAGGAGTTGCTCCCGAGAAACTTGATGTTTTTGTTAATGAGGAAGTTGCCTTAGCGGAACCAATCGAGAGGCTAAACCCAATCAAAGGACATCTTGTTTGTTTTCCATTAGAGTTCATGCGCGAAGAAGACTTGAGACCAGTGTTTATTGACCGTGAATTTTATACTTCCCCGCATGTCTTTCATTGAAACTTGAAAGGTGTTAGATTTTTAGGACTTCCACTTAAATTTAAGTGCCTGGTACATTAGTACATATAGATATATATACTTCAATAATTAATCAAAATTACTAAAAGTATGATTCTAATAAATTCATATGATTAAAAACATTGGACGTGCACAAAAACAAAGGGAATACGCATTGGGAGAGATGGATAATCCAGACTCGCCCACAAACGGTGATGGATTAAAGGCGTACTAATCCCACATATAATCATGGATTTTAGTGCGAATTAAAGAAAAGCCACACGCCCAAAAATCCTCACTAGGATTAAAGGTGTACTAATCAATCGTCTAATCCCACATAAATGATTACAAAGACTAGTGTGTTGGCACGACCGCACGAATTGCAGGGTATTTGAGTGGTTTCGGATTACAAATATGACTACACTAATGCACGGATCCTAAAGCACAAAGGATTACAACATTCTGTGAAAAAATCTAAGGATTAGAACAGTAATCAATATTTCTTTGTATCTTTTTATCATGGGAGAAAATCATATGGAGAATATAGAGTATAGTAGGGGTTTGTTTGTATTCAATGAAAAAGTATGATAGGATAGAAAATTTATTGAAAAATTCGCACCTATATTACTTCTAGTGTTTCCAATTCAAAAAATATAACTACCTCTCATTTTTCCTTAAGAGTGTCTTCAAATATGAGCCCGCTTGGTAGCACGAAAATCAGTTGATTTGGCTGATTCTGTTGAAATCCATGAAGTTCTGGTTGAAGTGGCTGCATTGGCTGATTTAAGAAAAAAATAATTTTAAAATATATTTTATAAATAAAATAAAGAAAAAATTATATGTAAAAATAGCTAAAATGGTCATCTACAATAACTTCAGCCAATACAGTCAGAAAAGTAACTTCAATCTTACTTTTTCTGCTTATTACACAATTCAGCGCGCGAAAGCAAAATTTACGTGTTTGGTGAAAAAGTTGGCTCATAAACTTGATAAGTCGATAAAAAGTGTTACCAAACGGCTTCATAATTGATGAATTGCTAGTTAATGTTGTGTGAACAACTGTCTTCAAACACCCCATTTATTTCACATCTTTCTCTTCCTTAACACAATTTTCCTTCTTAAACATTCAAACGCCACACCCCAATACTCCATGACCTGCAACATAAACAACCCACGGCAGGTCAACGGTGTTTTCTTCTCATCTCCCAATTAGTGCATCCCCTGTTCTTATATTTTTTCTTCTTCTATAATTCTTTTTATTTTCTTTTCGTCTTCTCCGTTAAAAATGGGATTTATGGGTGATTAGTCCGGAGTCACTACCACAATGCAACTTTTGAGGTCGAAGTCACTATATGTTACAGGGATTGAGTCAGGAGCCCGGAGTCACTATATGTTACAGGGATTGAGTTCGGAGCCTGGAGTCACTAATTTTTTAGTCACTAAGAAGATTTGAGATGGAGATATCGGTAACTGCTTGAACCAAGGTAGGTGAACGATAGTCACTGTACTGTGCATGACTCAATCATTGTAATCCAGTTACACCGATCGACATAGTCACTATGGATGGGCGGGAGTCACTATGGATGGGCGGCGGAGTAAATCTGGTTGCGGCTGGGCACATTTGTTGTCACTGTTATATCACCCTAGCCGCACTTAATACCATCAATGGCAGGCGGCCATGATAGCGGAAAGAAAATTTAAAAAATTAGAATACTCCTATATTATGGCTTTTAGTTACACACTACGCATCCTATTTAATTCTTCCGTTATTTTTTTGCATGGAAATGGTTGGTAATATCTATCCATTTATGGTAGTTGCCATATTACAAAGGCACGTCAATAGGAGTATTCATATAATTGGGAATAACTTTTTTTAGTCACTTTTTTGTCTTTCAACCCTCGTTTAGTAATATACATAAAAAAGGCCAAATTTATTAACATAAATAAAATAAATAATTATGTTAATTATATAAAAATGGGTGGAGGAGAAACCAAAAGTAGAATAGAGGCTCTATTAAGAGAAATATTAAATGGGTGGAGGAGAAATAAATGAAAAGGTAAGAGAGATAATAATTTGTATAAAATGTAAAAACTACCAAGGATCTGTTTGATAACACTGAAATTGGTTGAATCGGTTGATTCCGTTTAAATTAATGAAATTTTAGCTGAAGTGACTGAATAGAGTAAATTACATTAATGAAGAAATCTGGTCACTTCAGTCAATTCAAATAGAAGAGTAATTTCAAACTTACTTATTTTAATTATTTCACAATTCAGCACACAAAATTTATAGTTATGTGTTTAGTGTAAAAGTTGGGTGATAAGTAAAGTTAGAAGAGGCTATGCAAAAGTTAACTCAGACATTTTTTTTGTGTTTCATCATCATAAACGAAGAGGCTATAGGTATTACTTCTAGAAGAGGAAGAACAACAATGTCTAAGTACAATAGCATTGTTGCTAGAGGTACATGTGCTTTAATAAATCTTTTCTAGGAAATCTTGAAGTTGATTCAAGGTACTTTGGTAGTTTGGTTTCACTTCTAGTTTTGTTAGATATATTTGTGTTATTCGAATGTTATTCCATATAAGCTTAATTGTGTTATATTACTTGTTGCTGCTCACTGTTAGATTATGATTCGTCTTGTTTGCCTGATTGGACGAACCAAATTGCATTCGCCATAGATCTCCTCCATGGATGGGGGAGGAAACGATCCCGGTTCCAACCCGAAGAGGACCAAATCAGCCGGTTTTTAATGTGTCTGACTAGTTGTGGCTTGTGGTAGTGTGAAACTGTTAACTTCTCCTCAACTGGATATTGCAGAATTGATGGAACACTTGCTGTATACCAGATGACCTGAGAATGATCACATGAAGGCAATAATATTCCCAGCAGGATTTAAAGAAAAGAAAAACTCCTGAATCCTGATGCAGTTTTGTAGTATGATTTAGAACTAAAAAATATATCACCAGAAAAGAATGTGTTTTTTTCATTCAATATTCCATCTTTCACCCTGCTATTTGCATCAACAATATAATGGAGAAATGTACTACAAGAGTACAATAGTTTGGTTTGTTTGATGAAAACTATAAAGAGGAGAAAAATTATTGACCCCACTCCTAAAAATAAAAGATGTTATCTAATATGAATTCCAAGTTAATTCCATGGGCCCGCATGCCAAGTGTTGGAAATTTTTGGGACATCATCAACTTCCTCCTCCTCCCATGGATCTCAGCTGCTCCAATTGTTCCTTGATCTCATCCTGCACCAACTCTATTCTTCTTGAGTATACCTCCAATTCTAACATATGTTGCCTCCTCCATTTGTTGTCAGTCATCATCCTCATTTCTGGGCTCAATGGGTCACTCCATAATAACCCTAATGGCAGCATCAGCTGGCCCATCGCTGTGGACATCCCTGCCCCTCTCCATCCAATCATTGTTGGAGAAAGGCAGCTCTTCACTGTTTCCTCAATCAGGCCCGGTATGGAAGTGCCTGTGATTTTTGGTGGGGTGGCGGCCACCGGCGTCAGTGTCACTGCCTTGAACAGTGGCTTCACCGCCGTGCTGGAAGCGTTGGCGTTCGGGATGGATGTGGTTGGCGTAGCTAAACTAGTAGTAACCCCAGATGATGGCTGGCAGAGCAACGGCTTTTGTTTTTCTTCTATTTTCGGGGTTGTGGATGGTCCTCGCGATCGTTTCCTTGATGAATTAGGTGCTTTTGAGTCTGTCCCGATTGCAATTTGTTGTTCTGTAAGATTAGGGAGGGTATGGTTAGGGTTTGACTCTAAATCTTCACATCCGCCGTCCTCCACGGAGGCGGCGATGACTCCCCCACCACGGACGGCGGAACCAAAGTTATTGCTCCAGATCTTTCGCGAGATCTCGAAAGTAACCTGATCGTGAGTGCTCTTGAATACGTACTCTTTTCCGCCGGTCTCCATCTTGCTCGCCACGGTCCGGTACTTCTTCTTCAAGCGCCGGAGCTTCTCCACGAGCTGGCTCTTGTTGAAATCGAGCTGCAACTTGCTCTTGATCTGGTTATAAAACGCCGCCGTATCATGGTGCTGGTGCGACGACGAGCTGGTGGCCGCGCGATGCGCGGTATACTCGAGGAACCCCTTCAGCAACTCAATTTCATCCTCGTCGGTCCACAGCCGTTGAAAGAGCTTCCGCGACTCATCCAAAACGGCGGCAGGCGATTTCTTATCCTCGAAGATTGTAGAAGTGGCGGCGGTGACCGTTACACTGTCCTCCGTCCGCTTTCGAATCAGATCGGGGCGGAAGGAACCACTAGGGACGCCAGCCACCGTGACGGTGGGCTTTGAGTAGGACAATGGTGCCGGTGGATGGACAGAGGAGTGGGGGATTGGATCGGCGCCGAAGCTGGAGGACGAAGTGGATCCATCATCGTCGTCTTCGTTGTCGATAACATTGGGCGGAGTTTCGTCATAGTCATCCTCTTCGTCGGGATCTTCTTCTTCGTTGTAGACGACGACATGGTCACTGTGGCAGGCCATATCCAGGGTTGAGTGGGATTGGTCGCGAAAGTAATGAAAGGATGGAAGTGGTGGGTCACTATAGAAAGCGATGGAACCAGATGCGTTTGATTGTATTTAGACAAATTGTTTTTAAGTAGATTCTATGGTACCGTACCATACATTTGTCCACATGGACCAATGAGAATGTAACCTTTGAATCATTTAGAAAGGTGTCGGAGATGTCACCTTATTTTTAAGAGAAAATGGTCGATCAAGACTCGTTCTACCCAGATAAAATATTTGCTTATTTTGTATATGCAATATTTGCACCGATATATTTTTGCTGTGAATCTCAGAAAAGCTTTCCATAAACATGATGAGTATAAAAGTGTGCATAAAGGTGGGTACAAACACCTTTTTTGAATCCTCACACAACCGCAATATTCCATTAAACTCTAAAACGCAGAAGGTATCAATGAGTCCTCCTCCTCGAGACAAAAGAGAAGGAGAATAAGAACGGTTGTCATGATGTTAAAAAAAAGGATGACACCCATCCCTGAGGGCCTCCCAACCCTGGCCGGACGGTACGTTGGGATGATGTAAATTGGACTATAATTCCAATCTGACAGATAAAGAGTGAGGCTCTGTCCCCCGGTTGTCATGTTGTTACATATGTAATTGCTACATTCATGTCATTTTGAGAGCAAACACAACATTTTAAAAAAACGGAGGAAGAAGAAAATCCATGGAGGAGACAAAGAGAAGGAGAAGAAGAAGAAATCAGAGGAGGAAGAACCAAATTTCTGGAATTGGTGGAGTTTCCAATAAACAAATTGAATGGAGATGGAGGAAGCAGAATAAGATCAAACCTGGAGTACTTTGAGACATAGCAGGAGAAAAAGGTTGAACTTGAAGACTATGTAGCAGAGAAGAATGGATAGTGCAGGAGAAGAGAAGAACGGACAATGCAGGAGAAGAAAATCGATGATGTTGGAGGCGGTGTCTACGAGCAGGACAGAGCGATGAGAAAAGCAAGCGCAATTTGGACATTGAAGAAACGGAGGAAACTTAAACTAGAAGCGAATAATGGGGAAAAAAGATGGTTGGCTTTTTTTAACTAGGGAAAAATAATAAAAATACCACAAACTTTGAAAGAGTGTGAGGTAAATACCCCCAACTTGCATATGTAATTTAAATACCCTTAACTTTAAATAAAAGGTTATTTTTGCACCATTGTCATGTATTATTTCTTTTAAAAATGTAAATTTATGGGGTTAATTGCATAATTTAAAATAGAAAATTAAAAGTGTTGCAATTATATAGATTGGGGGTAACATTATTTATTTTCAAATGCAAGCTTAAAATGTTAATTGTGTCTTCATGAATTCTAAAATATTTTAAATTATGCAATTACCACCATACATTTTTTTTACATTTTTGAAAGAAATAATAGTTGTTATGGTGCTAAAACAACTTTTTATATAAAGTTTGGGGTATTTAAATTACATATGCAAGTTTGGGGTGTTAATCTCACACCTCTTTAAAGTTTGGGGTACTTTAATTATTTTCTCCTTTTAACTACGCAGTATGTTTTAGTCCCATTTTGGACAATTTCTTAAAAAATAACCTCTAAATCTATATAAAAGCATTCAATCCTACTTTTTAGCTATTGAGTAAATTGAGTGTAGATTATGCCAGTAGTAGCTTACGTGTTTTCAGTCCCATATCAGATCAGACTAGACCAGATCAGACTTAAACAGATCAAACCAGACCAGTTCAGACCAGACTTAAACAGACCATACCAGACCGATTCAGACCAGACATTTACCAGACCAGATCAGAACAGACTAGACCAGACCAGACTTAAACATATCAGACAAACCAGACCGCAAATATCAATCCAAGTAAAAACATTCGAACTACATCGGCAAACGATCAAATGTTTAGTTCTCTCTCTCTTTTTCCTCCAGTTCTTCCTCTTCTTTCATCTGTTGGGATAGTTTAATATTCAACCTTTCAACCTGAACAAACTACTTTTTGCGGTGTTTTGGCTAAAAACCTAATAACCAAACGGAGCCATTGTGTGACATCCAATCTCCTTTCTACATCATGGGAATAAGCATCAGAAAATAGTGTTCCCGTTGCCATTGGAGCTCCAACATGAAGTTCCAAATCCAAATATGAGATAATGGCTTCGACTTCTTTGATCAAAATCACGATTATGTGAGTTTATTGAAGAATATTCGAACACTAGAAGAAGCGTAGATGTCAGAGAAAAGTTAGGAGCAAACAGGTTTGGATGACAAAAGTGGGATAGGGGGGAAATATATACTCCGTAGTTTCGGCACCATCACCAAACCAAGATCAACAAGTGAAACAGAACTGGCTTAGAACTGAAAATATAGGTTCCAATCTAGAGCGTTATAAAATTTTCTCTGGCGGTAAGGTTCTGCAATTTATATTCTACATTCGAGTGTACATGTACATACATTTTTTTGTAATTAGTAGCAAGTTTGAGTGTAATTAATAGACTGAAGTGTTCAGTTGCTTTCTTTTTCCGCCGCTGCTCCACTCACGTTCATTCCTATCCTATCGTATGCTCTCCTTTCTTTTTTCTTTTTTCTTTTTTAGCAACCTTATATTTTAATGTTATACTCGTATTCAATTATTATGAAAATGTATAATATAAAATATTATTAAATGTTTCAGTCTATTTTTTAGATTCATGTAGGAGTTCATTATAGATATAGGAGCACAGACCATAACACTCAATTGCATGTTTCGATAGTCAATAGAGGAGACTTGATTCTCAATAAAAATGTATTGAAGTTCAACTAAAAAACTTATGATTTTTATATCAACACTCATTTTATAAGTTACGTTTGTTCAATTTGTACTCATATTATGCTCATTTTTAAAATACTCCCTCTGATTCGAAAAGAAGTTCCACCTTTCCTTTTCGGGCAGATTCAAAATTAAGTTCCACTTTCAAACATTTCCTTATTTGGCAAATTATCTACATCAAAACATTGTCAAACAGTGTTCAAACAGTGCCAAACAGTGCACTCCACAGTGAAGTCAAATTTATTTTCTTAATATGTGTGAAGTCAAATGTGGAACTTGTTTATGAATCGGAGGGAGTATCATATTAATGCAAATTTTAAAAGTTGCATATGACATTAGATTCACATTGTTAAGTTCCTAATACTCAACCGAATAAGTTTGATGCTCATTCAAAGTCATCATTGAGACATGGTATGGATGTACCGTAATGATTCTTGTCATTTAATTCCAATAATTCTTTCTCTTCTCCCCCTAATGACATGAAAATTAGTTGTCTCATCAAAGTGACATCCCTCATAGCGGTTTACACATCATATGTTAAGGCTGATTGAGGATTATTGTTGGGGATCCATATCCAATACAAATTCATTTGTCTTTTAAGACCGATTATATGCATTGTGGGAGGTGCATTAGGCACAATTAGTTAACAACCCACATATGTATAAGTAAAACATCTCAAGGCTTAGGCTAAGATCCGGTCACCAACTGATATACACAAAAACGATTGTCTATTATCGGTCTAAAAAGAAATGTGGAAAAGTGCTTGCAATATTGCATAATCCCATGAAAATAATAATATATTAGTGTGCGCATAATAGACATAATATTCACCATTTACATTCTTTTAGATATGAGTTTTACTAAGACTTTATTTTTCACATGGAATGCAATATGTTTTTCATTGATCTCGACAAATATGCAATATTCATCAAGTACTTTTGATGAGAATTGTCTAGCAATAATAAATCATATAGACTTGTTTGGTATGGTGGTGAGCCTTTAAATGAATAAGTTTTGCTAGAAGTTTTGCACATGCAACATTTTTATGTGACAAGAAAATAGATAGCATGAATAAATTTCTGCCAAACCATAATTACTTAAATGACCCGCATTCTGGTAGATACATTTTCACGTGTCACATTGTATTGAAAAAATGAGATATCTTTGCTTTTATAACTTTAGCATAGAAAAGTCTCGATTTTATTATTGCTAAGGAGTAAACTTTAAGAAATAACTGATGTCCCTACTATTATATTTGTAAGGCACAGTGAAAACTGAATGCATCTTCTCATACTTTAGAAGATGTATATTGGTTATCCTTTTATCAAACTAAGACCAACATTTTACATTGTGTTGGATCACATTGTATCCTTTATTCGAAGGATTAACAATCTGAGTGAGTTATTTCAAAGTTTGTATGAGTCAATGACCATTTTGACTCATATACGTCTTAAATATGCATTTTTTGCATTTATTAAGTGTAATATAACATTTTCTATCTCATTTTACAGCAAGCTTCTATGTGAAAATCCATTAAGGGTAGCCCGACAGACATTGAAATTCCTGCAGTATGAGAATTCGGGAAAACATCCCTTCACAAGGATGTATAAGGGGCAAATTTTTCTTGTCACTTTGAATTGACAAGAGACCGCTCACAAGAATTGAACACATGACATGATTGCATTATATACGAAACTCATTATGGTGAATAAATTTAAAACATCGTAAACTTTGGTGACTTCTAGATGCATTTAGAGGTCAAGGAGAATATAATTATATTCATTGACATTAAATATATAGGCAATTCATCGCCCTTAATCGATCATAAATGAAAATAAGGAATTTAGACAATAAATATACATTCCTCAATTTATTGTGCATGACACAATTAGTCAAAATACATATTTGTTATATATTGTAATAGTTTGTGAATGTCACTCATATACTTTAGAGTGTTATGATCTCAAGTAGAGAAAGGTACATATTATTCTACTAATTCATGAATATGTTTCTTTATATCCATTCTGTTATGAACAAATTTCATAAATATGCATTCAAGGAATCCAGTTGCATAAATGTCTTAAATGTAATTTGAGATAAAATATTGAGATGTTAAATCAATTTAAAATCTCAGATGAATACACATAACTTGTACCAAACTTTAAGACTCAAAATAAAAGTCTAACTAGAAGCAACGAAGTCATATGTTTGAATAACACTCCTAAAAGAGTTTAGAAAAAATGATGAGTCCAGTAACATGAGAAGATTCATATTCTCATAGTAGTGGACAACCAGTGACGGAGCTAGAGAAAAATTAAGCAGGGGCACAATCACATAATGCAAATCATCACATTAATAATAAAATTGTCTTAACAAATTACACTAATAAAACATACCAAATTTAATCAAAAGATTTAACGTAATGGACTAATGGTGCTAGATCTAACCTACGGGTCCTCATGTTCCGAAAATGTTGGATAATAACCTTATTGGTGTTTTTTCGG